TTGCGATTCAAGGAGAGGTATTTTTTTATTTTTCAGATATTAATTTCTGTTTGTTTTTATTATCTGTTTAGTGCTACGCAGCAACACACTGCTTTGTTTAACATTGTTATTTGCAACCCGGGCAATAGATGGCGCCAAAGGGTGCCGTTTCAAAAACCCCACACTCTGAGACAGGCTATGAGATGAGTCACTGTGAAACTCACTCTTGTCTTTTTCTCTTGTTTGTCTTTGTACACAAGTTACATGAAAAATGAAATGACTCAAGGTCAACGCTGAGTCACGCGTTTCTCCCGGCGGTATTTATCAGACAGTACAAGTGTGGGAGCGCGGCAAAGGAGATGGAAAATGTAATAAACAAAGAAGGACAGGGCATGTAGTGTAAAATATGTTACGAAAACATTTGGAGTGAAAAATGAAGGGGATACTCGTATACACGAAGCGAACGCTTCAATATTTACGGTTACATTTTTGGCGCATTTAGACAAACACGGGTACGTGTTTGTATTTTTATTTTTGGCTAGCGCTCAGGATAATGTTTTTTTTTAAAATAAAAAACAGCTCGAGAGTTTACCTTGTGAAAAAAATAACAAAATTCACAGTAATGTAAGTATAGCGATGTGATTAACCCCTGACATATTTGGCGAATGTTGTTAAAAAACAAACAAACGGCGGTTTATGAGGGACCAGGAGGTTTACTATCTTGTTTTGATGCGTAATCTTTGTTTCCTGTCACATTCGCGCTACTTTAAAGCTCACGGAATGTAAATGTCTTCTTTTAAAACGCCACACCATACCTTGTTTCACCCTTATATTTTTATATTTTTATTTCAAAATATAATCACGTGTATCTTTAGAATATGAAATATATTATTTGGATTTATTTGCGTTGCTTATTTCGCGGTAGGTGTATGTAACAATAAGCATTAGTTAGTGATGGTGAGTGTTGTTGTTGTTTACTCGCCGCGAACGCAGCACGGCCCGTGTTGGAGGGAGGGCGGGAGGGAGAGGGGGGGG